TACTATATATATATATATATATATATATATATAAATTGTACATATGCCTGGGAGCTGCACCGATTTTTATGCGGACAGACTATAAACGTTTAAGACACATACAAGATACAACACCCATATCGATGTCCATGTAACATTAGATAAATGACCAAGTGGGGTCCAATACATTAATCTCCAGCGTACATCATTAAGAATGCACGATGGATACCCTTCGGAGTACCTTATTGGTATATGGCCCCCGTTAAAAGTCCAATAGACAAGAAGAAAGGAAGGGTTTGGGTCTCTTTAAAGTAATTTCTTGGAGAAATTGGTATATGGCCCTTGTTAAAAGTCCAATAGCCAAGAAGTAAGCCAGGGTTTGGGGTCTCTTTAAAGTAATTTCTTGGAGAATTTTTAAAATGTTTGACGTATTTCAATAAAGGATGAAGTTTTTATTGGGCCAAGGCTTTATGAAAACAATTTGGACAAGGGAAATCTTCATGATCGTTCTAAAATCAATTTCCAACAGCAAAAATAAAATTTGAAATTAAAAAAATGATATAGATCTTAAGGATATGTTACCACTTATTTTTAAGGAGAAATGAATAATCTTAGATGATTTGTTACAATATACACTATTTTTAGAATCTGAAATCCTATATTTTTTTATCACAACCGCAATGTTCAAGCTGAGATGATCAATTTAAAAGGTTTTCAACGCTTGAATTGAAATTTTTGATGAGTTATGAGGTGAGGCTTTACTTATTTGGATAGGATTCTAGCCCTATCAAACCATTTTCCTGAAAAAAAGGGCTTTTTTAAAATAAATTTCCGTATTCTTGAAAAATATTGGGAATACCAAGAAATAGTCAAAAGAGGAGAAATAGTCGAAAAAAAGGGAAACACGCAAGTTGCTTGAGAGAAAGATAGTTTTTACAGGAAACCTTTACATGTGGCGCCCCCACCCACATGAAAAGACAATGTGAGCCGTTCAATCTAAACGAACAACTAAAATAGCTTCAACCAGAAAGTCACAAATTGTGCCTCTGAACATCTGATCTTACTTGGAATGCCGAAGAGTATTTTACTTTTATAAATTATTTTGCCATGAAATTCCAGACATGCCTACTTCTCATAGGGGGTTCCTAATAAAAATAAGAACAAATTTGGGCATCCCTCATGGAGTGGGCATGCCTAAATTTCATGCCAAGCATTTTATATGTAAGTAGCGCCACATGTAATGGTTTCCATATTTTTCTATTATATTCTTTGATTTATGTTTCTAGTAACTTATACCATTGTTTTCATTATAAAGACTTTTATAATGGAAAAGTCTAAAATAAGACCGGTTAACAAGAAGGTCGCAGTCATTATCAATCATTAGATGAGAAATCGGATCATTGAGGATATGTCATTGATTGGACACAAAACTCAAAACATAATTTTTTATATTGTGCGACACCCAAGCGGCCGGATTTCAAATCCAATGGCTAAAAATAATTGCGACCTAAATTGTTTCATGGTATACAATCCTTTTTACATATCCTTGGGACATAATTATATTTGACGACAAACTTTCTTTTTCCAAAAAATTTCTTGAGAAAATTCTTTAGCAAAAAGAGGGAACCACCCTGTTGGAACATCTAAATTTTCATGAGGAAAGTATATAATAAGACCTTTCCACCTTTGATACAAAAAGGTCAAAGCCACCTGATGTGACATAAGACAGCTGGGGGTGCGGTGCAAGTGCCAAATTTCACATCTGATGGCTCGCAATGATAGTGACCTTGCACCAAAAGTGACAGTTTTTAAGCATAGAATCCCTTTCATAAAAATGGAGATATTTGCGTCTCAAACCTGTGAGTGCTCAGATGCTGTTTTCCCTTCTCTCTTCTCTGCAAAAAGTGATGAGAAGGCTTCATCTTCTATGAAAGCATCCACTGCTTTTACAATGTCTCTAGCCAAGAAGACCCGAACCCTTGAACCCTTCTCTGAAAGAATGAAATCAAATACGTCTTCAGTGGCGGCAACAACTGAATGCATGTCAAAAGATTTCCATGCCCTAACTGGTGCATCATTTCCATCCCCATCTGACTCTGATGCTTGTTCAGAAATAGCCATAACCTGAAATGAGATCAATATAAAAGCAGCACTCTCTTTTAAGGATAAATGAAGATGCTAGCTTAATAAATAAATAAAAACGGTATTTTTCCTGTTCGTTTACTTTTTTTTGAGAGAAGATACTCAATAAATAAGAATGTTAATAAATGAAGATAAAATAGTCTTTTTTGATGTTCATTTTTTTTTTGCGTACTATATTTGGTAAATTTACTTTTAATCAAAAAAAAAAAGGTAAATTTACAGCATGCCCCCTAAACACGAGTTTCTCCGAGCAATGAATCAAGCTTGTAATGCTGCCCCCCACCCTCCCTCTTTTCTCTCCGTGTGTGTGTGTGTGTTTGTATGAATGTGTGTGAGAGAGAGAGACTCAATTTAAGAATGTTGAGAAATGAAGATAAACTAAATGAACCTATGCAGGTGTTAAAGCATTGTTATGAGAACAAATAGCGTACTAGGCGTTCAAGCCGATTCCACCGAATAGAGCCATTATTACGAATAAGAAGCTCCCTCAAAATCTTCCTCATATCTGGATTTGGGTCAGCAAGTAATCTGGCTACGATAAAAGGATACGCACTCTCAACAACTTTGAATTCGGGATCCAATACTTTTGCAGTCCCTTCCAAAGATCCCAATGCTCTAATCACAAGAGCATAATCAGGGGGCAAAGTGAAATTGAAGTCATACATCACATTATATAACTGATCCATTATAGCCTGAAATCGAAGTAACACAAACATATCAGAGAGGCCTATAGGTTCGTGAAAATCCATCTGGTCTATCAAAGCATGCAAAGAATTGTTGGACTGAAAGAAATGAAGATATTAAGAAAGAAAAGATACTCTAGAATTCAATGGGCTACGGAGGAAACTAGTTTTTCGCGGTAACTGCCACCCAATGACATGACAAGGTGATGGAGAGAAATGGATCTGAGGAAACCAGGACATGACCCAAAAGATGGGCTTCATTCTCTCTCCACCACTGGTTATCATTTCAAGGCACAATGATGACCCAAGGACTATAATTTTATCCATTAGATTAGATTGCACTTTTTCTTATTGCAAATAATGTATCTACATTAATTGTAATTTTGTTAATGCATCGTCATGTCCCATTTACTAACTACACAAACATGTGTGTGTTTCTGCACTTGTATGCATGTAGGAAAAATCACAGGAGAGATAGGACCAGGCATTTTAGGCCTGCACAGAATTTTACTAATAACAGTGGACATTCAACTAATTAAAGCAATAGAAAAGCACATATCCCCTTAGCAAAACAATCCCAGTGTGCAGAAAAAAGAAGAAACCATCAAACCTGGAAATCCTGCGATTCTTTAGTTCCATCACCAAAGGATGCTTGTAATGTATCTGCAACAGCTTGAATTTCCACCCCTTCAGGGATAAATCCCAGTGAAAGGAAATCATTTGCTAAACCCAATGAGTCATGATTAACGAAGTGCACGAGCTGCAGTAAGGTGAACCATAATTTTGTTACCAAACTTTGGGGCTTTTAGCAAGAAATATAATCAAAATCTCATCAGCTTTTGCCAAACATTATTATCAAGCCTAGGCACTCTTAAAGCATAACAGAACTACAATAGTAATTACCCACAACAAAAGCAGAAAAAAGAAGGCGGTTGATGAAGAATGCAACAAGGGATCATGATAACTAAGCACATATAGGGCACTTATATCATCCCCTCTTGTCAACAAGTATTAGTTTGCATCTCTCGCAAATTATGTTATGAATGAACCCATAAAGAACACTTATCTAAAGAAGAAATTACATTCAGAGAGAGAGATGTATACCACTTGGATAAGTCCCACTCGATAGTGTCTCGGAATGTCTCCCATCATGCCAAAGTCAAAATAAGCGAGAGAGCCATCAGTACAAGCAACAAGATTGCCAGGATGGGGATCAGCATGAAAGAAGCCCTCCTCAAGCAATTGCCTTAGAGAGCAATAAAGTCCCTAAACAAGCAAAGAGAAATGAATTTTAGTCTGAATCATAGCAGAGGCAAATGCCATGATTTCAAGCCCCTATACATAAAATGGAGCAGGTAACAAATCTCAACAAATTATGTGATGTTGTGAATTAAAGATGGCAGTGCAAATATTAATCTGTTGCCTGGGATCTTTTATAATTTGCAAAATAAGAAGAAACCTTTAAAGCAAATTTACAAGAACACCTATTCCTATGAATGTTGAAATTCTTTAATGTAGGTGCTAAAAGAATTTCAGAAACATACCTGGTTTATTAATTTCTTCCTATCCAGGAATGCTTTCTTCATGCGATCAGCATCCGTAAGTTTGATCCCATCTATCCACTCCATCGTAAGGACAGCCTTACGAGTGTAGTTCCAATATATCTTAGGCACTTTGATGTAAGTCCTCATTTTAGTGCCCTTTGTAGATGTGTCCCTATAGCTGTTTTCACCACTTTCTGTAAATCAGAAACTAATTATAAAAAATGTATGTTTCAGGTTGGTACAAGTAAGAAACCACAAGGAGAGTATATTATTGACCTAAAAACAATAACAAAACCCCATCTGACTTAAATCAGCTTTAGGCTTCTTACAATGGTCTTTATTAAATATGAATGCGCAATCTATATCGCAGCATGATTAGAAGATAAATCAAGCATGAATGCAAGTCCAGTACAAATGTAAGCATTCAATGGGAAATATATCCTCAGTATTTCCTCACAGCCTTACATTACATCTTAATCTTTCTTCAGGAGGAGAAACTAATTTTTCTTTATTTATATCAATACAAACTTTTGACTATTAGTCACAATCACTGGCTGCATAGCACAGGTCGGTTCAGTAAGAGTGAACATTGTGAACACCCAGAGGTTCTCTTATTTTCTGTATAACATGAAAGTTCTACTTTAGGTACACTTAGTTTACTGGTAGTTTTCATTCGAGAAAAATGAAGTCAACCAGAGATGAGATAGCTACGAGAGTCAAGGAATATTGCATTATATGCACGATTCAGGTTCATTTTCAAACAGTGAAACCTGAAAATTACCACAATTCAGTGAACTTGGACAAGAGAGTGGCAATTTGCACTCTTTCATAAGCTTTTCTTTTTTTTCTTCTTCTTCTTTTTATTTTTTTATTTTTTTGTATTTTTAAGTTAACAAAATATTCTTCTGAATATTTACATGAATGCCTGAAAACCTTCTCCTTTTCCTACACAAAAAATAAATGTATGTTTCCCTCACCTAAAGAATTAACAACTCAAAACAGTCTCAAAGCTTCGGTTGTAAACTGCACCATTGTTCAAAATAACAAAAAGAGGGATTCAATGTTATAGATTAAGAAGTCTATGATTCCTATTTCCCCACAGACAAGATAAGAGCCTATATGTTGTAAGCCTATCAACAGTTACAGGCAGTCAGGGTATAGAACTTTAGGCCAATCCAAATTGATTAAGTAAGTAGTCCAACCATTAAGCTTTCAATCATCAACCAACAAAAGATAAAACTAACAATATCTAGTGAATAATAAAGGAGACCACTGAAAAAATCATAGCACATGGAAAAAGAGGGTGAGGCATACTTGGATAACAAGCATAAAGAGCAGCAAACCGCTCGGCATTTTGTGCCTCCAAAATATAATCAATCTCTTTAAACATATGGCGAACCTGCTCGAACATGACAAACAATAACACGTCATTAATTTACGGGAATGATAAAAAGGAAAACTAGCATAACAATAAAAAGAAAAATGTAACTTTCCCTTGAGAATTCAATAGGAAATTGAAACTCCAGATACGAATTATTTTTACTGCAAGATGACTAAGCAAGAAACAGAAGCACATGACAATAATACAAAAAGTGGACAACTAAGCACAATATTTCTACATCAATGACAGTAGAGAATGCTTTTAGTTCATTTACTTTAATTGTAAATTTCTTTTAAATTATCTGTAATTCTTATTATAAAAAAAATATATTTCTACATCAATGACAGCAGAGAATGCTTTTAGTTCATTTACTTTAATTGTAAATTTCTTTTAAATTATCTGTAATTTTTTATTATCAAAAACAAATTATCTGTAATTTTCTCCTTTGATTAATGAACTTTCAATGCATTTACGTTGAGACCTTGGTCACATAAAGCAAGTTTTTTTTTTTTCCTTCAATTCCAATAAATAAAAAAAATGCCTTTATAGCTAAACATGAATAACTTTAAAGTAGTTGACGAAATCCCACATTACAGTTGAAATAAACATTGATGTATTTGAGGTGCGCAATGACCTCAACTATCAGTACCCAACTGTTGAATGGAAGCATCGTGAATGTATGAAGCTACATGTGACCAGTGGAACAGCCATGGATAATTGTTCATATTTAATAATACAACAAAATAGTTTCAAGGCCAATGAACAAATTATGAAGTATTCAATCTCACCATTTCATTCACTGCGACAAATAAATCCCGTCGAGCCTTTGCAAACCGCTTCAATTGTCCACCAATCATATGAAACAATAAGGCATCTAGTGTCAATGTATGAGACATACCCGGTCTCTGTACTTTAACAGCTACAAGCTCTCCAGAATGCAAATGAGCTGCACCACTTAAGCAACAGCACATCAATTAGACATTTAGGATTCCATGCCAGATAAAGAAATTATTCACTGAGTACTCAAGATGTAAATATAGGAAAACCTTATAAATTCCGTAGAGAAAAATACATTGTGAAATCTTCAAGCCAAAGATATCTCTTTCACCAACCTTTGTACACCTGCCCCAGAGATGCAGCTGCAATAGGCTCAGGGCTGATATCAGCAAATATTTGTGAAACGGGGGCACCCAATTGAGTTTCAATAGACTTAATTGCAACATGAGTTGGAAAGGGTGGTATTTGGTCCTAAGAAATTGCAAAAAAGCGATAAAAACAAGTAAGAGAAAAATAAGCTTGCCCTATGGTAATGGTACCAAGGAAAATAAAACGAAAAGGAAACCCACAATTTGTGAAAACTTCAAACAGAACACCCAATGTCTTATCAGCAAAACAGTAAATTCTATAGCACCAAGATCAATATGAGACATCATTGTTACTTATGTTTCATGGTCAAGCAAAATATGAATCGTAAATTTGAAGATAGGGCCTGTCTTCCCCACTGAATTACACAAAAAAAAGGTGAAGATACGGTGAAATTAATTAAATGAAAGAAAGCTCAAATCTGGATCAGGATCTGAAGAAAAGCAAGTTGCCTATTAAGCAGTCTCATGAGACCATACTACAAACAATAAAGACCAATAATTGAGAAGCCAGGAGCGGGCCACCAAAATCCAAGTATCAACAGAATAAAGCTTATGATATTTTGGTTCGTACAATAGGGTTTATCATAAATTATCCCATTATGTCATTATCAAACTTATGTGCCTAAGTTTTCTAGATTGTAAGGCACTTAATTCACGATAACATAGAACAATATATGGACAATATTCACAACCTATGGATGCGTGTATGAACGGCTTTTGGCATGTGTCAACACAACATGGACATGACATGTGTCTGACACTTCAGAAATTTAGAACCCTTCTGGTTAACCTGTTTTATTAAGATGTTAACATAGAAGCACTTAATCTCACTCAAAACTTCACACCCTCATCATTTAAGTGATCTAGGAACATGTCGTGTCTGAAACACCAACTTTGGAGTTGGTGTGTCTATGTAACATTGCTTACAGTAACAACGGTATTATAAAAATAAATAATAAAAACTATAAGGGCTCAAATTACCCAGTGGATCACTATTTAATTGTCTCTCAAGGAGTCAGTTGGAGGGCCAGTGATTCACACAGCTGACAAATTCAAACTTCTTTTCTCGTAGCCGACTACTTAGACAATTTGAATTATTCTTTGCAGGTAATTGACATGGAAACAATAAGAAAGCACCAATGGGTAATGCATCACTCTATCCTAGAGAGTGCATCAAGAATCATATAGAAAACAGCACACCTGCAACTTAGCGAGCTCCTGGCAGTAAGCATTAGGTAATATATCTGGTCGAGTGCTCAAAGCCTGCCCAAGCTGCGATCCATAGAACAGAAAGCACCACAACTTTGTAAATTTCTTATACAGTGGACTGCAAGGAACCAAAACCATTGCATCATATCAATCAAGAAAAACCATTAACAATTTCCTAAGAGATCGTCAAAACTGCTGAATTGAGAAAAACAACTCATCGTATAACCATATGTGTGTGTGTATATATATATATATATAAGTATGTGTGCATGCATGCACATAAATATTGTGAATGGATGCAATTATGCATAAAATCATGGACATACTTGTGCATGTATGTGTGGACAATGAGAAATCTACAGTACGATTCAAAGGAACATCCTATTCTTCTACTGGAATGGATAAGAATGAAACTCTGTTTACAAATAATGCAGCTAGAACAATATAGTCTTACCTTGATATAAAAAGGGCCCAAGCGAATAAGAGTCTCCCGAAACTGCAACGACAAGAAAGAATATTTTTTTTTAAGTACAATACTAGATCAACATGTCTGACATAGGAATGTAGCAATTATCAGAAGATATATGGAATATGACCATTATGACACCCACAGAATGCATATAACAAACACTGTATAATTCTGAATTGAGAGAAATGAAGATAATGTAAAAACTCAAAAGTTGGATCATATTCTAGAATACAACCAGATATGACTTTGACTAGAGTGATTGCTTAGAGCACGAGCAGCTTGTGCAGAACATCACTTAACCAATGTATTAAATCATGAATACCTCTGAGACATGGCCCTATTTTGAGATTTTGGAATAAAAGGATTTGTTTGGACTATTGTTGGCATTTTTTTTTTGCAGGCGGGGGGTAGCAATAGTCTCAATTTTGAGCAAACACCGTATCATGCTATTTGTCAAGAAAAATAAATAAATAAATATCCTTCAGAATTCAGATTTGAATTAGAGGATGATAGTTTATATGTTGCTAGTATTACATTAAAGTTGAGAAGAATAACATATCATATCCTTCTTTTTTCTGATAGGCAAGACAAGAAATGATAGATTCAGAATGAATACATACGAGGGAACTTAGGTGTGTCTTCAATAGGCGATAAAACGAAGGAAAGTAGACTTAGGTGGGCTGGCTATGTGCAACATAGACTAATACAACACCAGTTAGGAGGTGCGATTTGGTTCAAGTGGAAGGCTCTAAAAGGGTAAGGGAAGGACCAAAAGAACATTAATAGAACTAGTGAGAAAAGATGTGGTGACTTTTGGTCTTACTGAGGGTATGAGCCCTTGATAGATAAGAATGGAGGAACATAATTCATGTAGCTGACTCCAAATAATTGGGATAAGGCATGGATGATGATGATTATGATAATGATCCTTCTTTTTCCACTAGGTATATCACATCTAAATTAGTAAACCAGCCTTAAACCAAATCATAACTGGTGTTTATGAATGAGTGCATAAACTTAATATCACGAAAAAAAGGCAATTACTTAAAGGGTGCGGTTTCTATAGGGCTGCAACCTTAACCAATCCAATTAAGGCGCACCTCCAAATTTTATCGTAACGTGTAA